TTGGGCCCTGCCCTCGGCGCCATCCATGAGGGGCGGCGCGCCTTCGGGGGGCGGCCCTGGGGGCTCGGGCCGGCTCGGACAAGCTAGTTCACGGAGCCTGGCCGCGGCGGCGGCGGCGGGGCGTTGGCCCCTGGGCTTGTGGCGAGCGAGTGGAGCTGGGCGGAGCGCGGGGGTTAAGGCCGGCGAGTTGCTTGCGGGAGGCCAGAGCAGCGAGGCCCCCGGCAGCGTCGGGTCCAGGGGAAGGTCTGGGAAAGATGATAAAAGTTCAATGTATCCTTCAATGTAAAAGTATTGATTTGAAAGTCCTTCTTGTAATTGAAAAGTTTTAAAATGCATCCGGGATTTCTGTGCACGTGTAAACGGAAAAGGCCAGTTTAAAAATGAGTGCGCATAGTTTTGAGCTGAACTTGACCTTTTGCTGTGTACAGAATAAAAACCCGAGACTGTTTTGGCCTTAAAAATGGCAGAGATGAACCTGACAAAGAAATGTTTGGATTGAATTGGAAAAAATTATGTTATTGTGGTAACTAAATACCTTTGCTTATTGGTACAGCCACCATTTTGGGCTGCAAGCCTTGACAGCCGCCATGTTGGCCGCATGGTTTGCTGCTTCCCTGGGGGCCGCCATCTTGAAACAGCAAAGGCCCCGCCCTCTGATTTAGTCAGGGGTGGAGCTTTAAGGCAAAGTTTTATGGAACTGCAAGTGTGCTTGTTTTGCGGATTTATTTTTAAGCTAATCTCTTAAATCTAAAAAACCCTGCTTTCCTTAAACTAAGGACAATTAAAGGTTATATCAAAGTCTTTAAAAGGGACTGATAGTAGTAATCCAATTTCTAAAGTCAGATAGAAACTGTGGCTTCATACTGATCTAGATAATATGTTTACCCACAGCTGTGGTTTGGATTGCATGCTGTCTCTGCTTCTGTAAATTGATCTGTCCTTAATGCTTAAATATGTATCCTTGTTATTGAATTTGAATATATTGTCAATCTGAAGAATGTTAAT